GAGTCAGCAGTAGTGCAAGTAACCTTAACTTGTCTTGTTCTACTCCTATAACCGGCCTATCTTACAGCTAGAATTAGACAGTGTGGGTCTCACAACGGGTCACTTATCAGTTTGTGTCGGCCACCCTCTGTGCAGATAGCTGTATCAGTTTAAACATAAATATTGAAAATTATGGCCCTCCTTGGTGGCGCAGTGGGTTAAAGCACTGCACTAAGAACCTGAAACCACTTCCGCATGAGTTCGATCCCTGCCTGCCCCAGAGGTGACCACATGGTGTGGCAGACCTCTCCTGACCCGCCCGCTGCTCCCTTCAGCAGTGTACTTCGTTGATCTGCCTATTCTGCTCCCCACTCTGTCTCTGGTGAAGTCTTTCACCACCCCTGAATCTCTGGCCTGTACCCCAGTTCTGTATGCACAATAAATAAATCTTTAAAAAAAATATTCAAAATTAGCAAAGGGTCATCTTCCGAATTTTAGGCAGGGAAAGACAATAAAATTTCATAATGTACAAGGAGAGATCCATAGTAAGGACCTTTCACTAACACTAGACTATTCCTTTGTCTTTGGGACACTGAGCTCATATCAACCCAGCCTCACAGATTCTCATCGCTCAACATGCAGCCCAGCCCGTTCAGTACTCTTGTCAAGGCGTCTCCAGACAGATGCTCAAGTCTGACACTTGTGAGACTAGGTCAACAAGTGACACTGAAACAATCCTACCCAACACCTCCAAAAACTTAAAGTTTTTAAAGCACTCGTAAATCTTAAAGTTTAAGTAGATACTATACCAGGGTTTGAGTTTTTCAAATAATAATTCAAAGCGAACTTCTCCCCATACATAGTCTAACTACTTTTTCCTGTTCCTGCCCTGTCAGAAGCACAGTATAGTTAGCAGAGCTGCTGAGCAGACAGGAAGGGTGCAGGACACCCCTGAGGAGGAGATACAGGCGCCTCGCCAGTGTTTCTGGGAATGTCAAGGCCATCAGGTCATGTCGTCATCTGAACTCTGTCACCCATGTGCAATGGAAAGACAGAATGTAGCACAAACCTCTCACTGCCATGTCAGAAAGCAGAGCTGGAGGGGCCCTGTGTGGCCACCAGCCACACTAGCCTGGTGCTGCTGTGCAGCGTACCTGTAACAGACACCGTCCGTGCAAGGGCTGTGAGCCCGCACAATGACAAAAACGTGCTGGAAGTGGGAGCGGATGTTTTTTGGGCTGAATGGCTGTGCTCCAGGCTCTTGGAAAACGATGGTTACGATATCATTTCCAATGTGCCTCTTCCGCAGGAGCTAAAAGAAAACATAAGCAAACAACATGAATGACAATATTGTACTCTTTCCTTCCCCATTCTTTATGTACTTGAAATCATTCAGTATGTATGAGGCCAGGTCATCTATATGGTATTGACTATTTTAGCCTGTCTTATCATTCCCTCCAAGTAAGAACATGGACATGAATATTCTGAAGTTTCTATGAAATACACAATACATTCAAATAGACCTAACCTGTATCTCATACATTATGACAAGTCTCAGTACCTTCAAATCCTTAGTTTCCATAACAACAGTTTGGCTCCATTTTCATAGAATAAGATAACTTGCCATGGGGAAAAAAAATTTAGAACTAAGAACAACTGCAGTCATTACAACACAATTTATGTTCAGGTTTAATTAGTTTCATTTAAAGCAACGTGGCTAAGGTGGTTTTTTTTTTTAAAGATTTATTTATTTATGCATATTGAACTAGGGTACAGCCACAGGTGTGGGGGGCGAGAGGACTTACCAGAGACAGAATGGGGAAGGCAGGACAGGTATTTTTACTGAAATACACTACTGAGGGGAGAAGGAGAGTTCGCTATACCATGCAGGTCAGCTCCAGGGCTGGGGACTGAATTCGTGCTGCAGTGGCTGCTGATAGCTTGATAGTGCTGAGACTTAACCCCATGAGCCACTAGGAAGGACCTAAGGTGTTTCCTGATACACTTTTTGTGACTGTCACAAACTGGGAATGTAGACATTCACAGTATTCCAGAATGTTGCAGATTTTAAAAATAGGTTAAATTTCAAATTTCAATAGTTTATTTAACTACAATGAAAGCGGTGAAGTCCCCCTTGTGTGTCACATTAAGTGGTATTCTGGAAAGCTGGCTTTCAAATGCAGGCAGCACAAATCATGCCAGGTCATAGCCTTTCCAAGAGGGTTTCGTTAGAGAATTTAATTCAATAGTGTCGAAGACAAATGTAATAAAATGTATATTTCTCATATTTATTATATGGATAATAAAGAGAGAAAAATACTGAAACAGCATTTATTATGAACTACCCAACAGATATAAGGTTGCATTTGTAAAACTTACTTTTTATTCTCCAATGACACTAATATATACAAATTACACACCCATAGCATCAGTGATCTGATACTGACCACCAGTTGGGAGGAATCGCCTTTTTATTGTAGGTTAAGGTTGAGAAATGGGAGCTAGTATGTTCTAGAAATCTACTTTTAACCTTAAGAATTTTAGAGCACCCCAAATTAGCTTCTAATAAGGCAGTTTACTTCATTTCTAAACATGATACATTATGGAAATAATGGCTGATCTACAATGGCTTCTAGGCACAATTTACCATTAAAGATCATTCATTTGTACTCATTATTAAAGATTATTCACTTATTTAGGATTATGGCCATACCAAAACAAATTTTGTCTAAGTACTGTCACTCCTGCTTAGATGATATCACTGACAATGACACTGACTTTTTGATGCAATTTTGTTTTTCTTCAAAATAGGGTTTGATTTGATATTAAAGTAATCATATTAGACACATAGAAGTAAATCTATTTCATATTATATGTTATAAAAGTATTTATAAATTCCTACAAAAAGACTTTTAAGTCTTTTCTTCTCTTTTTCTAAGTATAAAATAATCTATATGGGAGAATACATTCTTTAATTAGAGAACAACAATTCTTAAAATGCAGTAGTAACAATTACTTCCTCATTTTGATTTAGAATTATAAAACTTTTGCCTTGAATGGACCCCCAAAGTAAATAATTTACATAGCTGTCCATTTAAATGGTAACATCACTTTGATCAGTAATGCAGCTTAGTTAGTTAGAAATCACTAAATGTTGCTACTCATTTTTTTACTTCCCTCCCCACAACTTATCCTTCTCAGCAGAGAGATCAGGTGCAATAAGCCTTTCTCTCTGCTGTAAAGGTCACTTGTGGAAGTTCTTAGTTTCTTGGCTACTGACCAGAATAAGAAGTTTAGCAGTATATTTTTCTTAGCATGAGATTTTTGTCTCCGAGAAATCTAAACTTGGAATTTGCATAAAACAAATTGTCAACAAACTCTAGACCAGGGACTTTATTCTTATTTCAGATTTATAGTGGACTCATTGTTTTGTTTCCTATGTTGACTTTGGTAGTCATAAAAGACAAAACCCTGTTACCTAGATTTGTGATTGAATCAAACTTTTGTGATGAAGTGTTTGATTAGATTTGTGTTTGGTTAGATTCTGTGAAAGAGGATGTGATTCATTCTGCAGCTGGCCGATGGTCTGTTAAGTGCAACAGCTGATAATAACAAAGTCTATACTTATTTTAAGGTCAGAAGTTGGAGCACTGATATTTAAGTAGCTATTGAAAGGGGAGTCCATTAGTGATCTGGTTCTTTAAATTTCAGTTTAGTACCATTTACTGTGAAATATTTTTTTAAAAACAACCACCATCACATACCCTCTTAAAGCAATACTGCCGGCTTCCATTTTGCAATCTGTCACTTCTTAATTTCTGCATTTTTAAATCATACTCACTGCACGTTAGTAATAGGCACTGTGCAAACAGGTAAACAGTTACTTCAGTAAAAAAGGAAAAGAAACTCTGCCTGGTGCACACAAATGCAATTGTGTTCCTTACTATCTTCTGATGACACATTAAGACTATGTTTAGTTTTCTGATTTGTCTGTTTGTTCTCCAAGTTAACATATAAAACCTCCTTTGAAATCTGAAATGAAGCATCGGTACTTTCCTGCTTTGTACAGTAGCCTCTTGAGATGAAACTTCGCCCACTCATATATATGTTCTCTGCAACCCTGCAGAGTCATCTAATCACCATGATTTCAACTTGTTCTCTTCAGATTTCATGAAAACCTCCATCCCCGTGGGTGAAAAGCAAGTGATTAATTCACAAAGCCATCCAGCTGGCTGTTAACCTAGAATTTATGTCTCTTCATTTGTTCTCAGCTCATTTGCTATTCCTTACTTCCACAAAGTACAGAGCTTCCTGCTGCTGTGACAGGTGCAACATTAAACTCTGGTTTAAGATTTTATAAACTTGCCACTTAGGCTTCTGGGGGAAGTGAGACAAGGGGAAAGAAACACAGAACGCTGGGACATCTCACCTGCTGCTTGTTGTTGGGTGTGTAGGGCAGCATGGTGGAGACGTGGAACATGATTTCATAGTCCTTGTACGTCGTGTACAGAGAATGAGTTCCAGTGGAGTCAGCTATAGCAAGACAAAAGGGGACAGGTACATGTTTATATGCAGTGAGATTAAGAAGAGGGAAAAAGTTTTGTGACAAAATATGGTGACTGATGTTAACTGGACGATGTGTGGCAATCCTCTGAAATACATACAACAAATACCGAATCATTATGTTATGTACCTGAAATGTGCATGTGAATTTTACCTCAGGAATAGTTAAGAGAAACCCTTAAAAGGATATACATTTTTGAAAATCAACAAACAACTATAAACCAGAGACATACTATGGGGACAGACAAGGGAATAAGATCAAATCTGGGGCAGGAAGAGCACATGTCCAGGACTATGGTGATGGCACACCAGTGAGCTGGTGTGGGAAGTCCACGGGATTACAACTGAGATGAAAAAAATGTACAAAATGAAGAATGATGTTTTATACACATACACACACAAAATTAAAAAAAAATATTTTAAAGGTGATGACTTCACATCTGATCTTCTTTGGCAGTATCATGAAGTCCAGGGGACCCCTTCTCAGCATATTATTTGCAAGTCACAAAAAATATGAGCTTTCAACAGAAATCAGTTATTTGGAAAAATAAGTTACCAACATTTTAAAATGATATGACTTAAGATTTTTATAGCAGAATCCAGCAGTTCTAATAAGTCCTATAATTTTGAAGCCATGATGAAGACAATCAATATGATAAAAAGAAGGTTGTGCTTTCCAATAAAATCACAGGTAGGGTTTATAGGACTATGGTTTCTTGCCTAAATTCACTCTATAAGGAAATGCTAAAATTAAACAAGGAGGTCAGTGAAAACAAATGTGAGCTATTGCCTATCCAAGTTTAGGCATTCCGCCTACAGACATCAAGTTAAGTACCTCTTTCCCAATACTTTGATTTCAGCAAGACCCCTGTTCATAACAAGCAAATGGACATTTCTCAAGATTGTAACACTGAACAGCAATAGCATTACAGCAATGGCCAACAACTGTCTTTTAATGTTAAGTGTGCCCGGCTGTCACCTTAAGGAAAAGAACTACCTCTATCTCTTTATTAAATAACCAATGTGCCCATAAGTGCCTAGAAACCAGAAAGGGAATTATTAAATATTTAATTGAAAAGGGATATATTTTGACTGGAGTTACAGGCTACGAAGAGAACAAAAGAACATGCCTCCCAGGTGGACTCCAGCCTCTGTCAACCACAGCACGGAGGGTAAAGCACTCCCTGCACCACAGGGAAGGATGGTGCTGCAAGACAGCCTCCTGCACGTGCCATGGGCGCTACTTCTCAAGCCTCAGCATGCATAGCACCAGCTGGGAGCTAGTTTAAAAGGCAGATTCTCATGCCTTCCCCCAAATATTGTTCATTGGATGTGGGGCTGGGCAGAGGAATCTATTTTTACAAATTCTCCCAAATAACTTTGACACAGTCACTCCACTGCCTCCAGGCACTGCTCCAAGAATAGACCACAGTGGTGACTTGCAGGGAGACGTGTAAGGATGTTCTAGAGGCCTGAGTGTCAACCTTGAGCTTTATGGAGGTTCTTAATTTTGCAGCTGACATAAAAGGCAAAGGGCTAAGACCCAGAAAAACACAAAACCAGTAATAACTATTTTTCAAAAATTCCAAAACATAAAATTTCCCAAGAAAAATACCTTCTAAATGTTAATGGGTATACCCCAAAGATGTACAAATTACTACAATCAAGTACTGAAATATTTCAGAAAGGTCTTGAGTATGAAGAACTCATCTTTTGTTAAGGACCTTGGCTATAAATATCTCTAGAACTGATGAGTACATTTTAAAACTTTAAAGTGAATGTGTCAGCTTTGACGTGTACTTACAAGTCAATTTTAAGCAAAATTAATGAACTAGAAAAAAGACTGTCATCCAGTATTCATTTAGTACATTTTGCTTTATATGTCTAATTTTAAAAAGATTATTGCCAGAAAGGAAAATTGACGTGGAAGACAACCCAGAAGATAATTTTTTTTCAACTTCTAGATCATTCTCTTGGTCCTTTACATGTCTCATTGTATAAAATATATGCTGCTTAACCAGCTCCTTACCTACCCCCTGGGGGTAGGTAAATCTGGGGGCCTTTGAAATCCCAGAGTTTTGCTGGTAATTTTAAATGGTTTAGAAACAATTTCAAAATTCAGAGAGGAAACTAGGCCAAATCAATGAAATTTTCCTTCCTACAAAGAAAAGAACTCCAAATTTCTGAAATTACTACATATATAATTGAGTTGCCAAGCTTACCAGAAAGAAAAGAACGGGAGCTGCATGCTTCCTACATTCTAAGTCATAAAGCACCCAATGTTGTTGTTATATTGTTAGTGACCCTGAAACCCTGAAAGATTTAGTAGAATGATAATTGGGAAAATGACAAAAAATCTTTTTTTCTATGGTTGAAGAAAATCCATATTGAACATTTTCTAAAGGGAAAATATGCTTGAAGAAGAGTAGTGAAAGAAGATAATGTTACTTCATATCTGTATGTGGCTTTAAAAGTTAAAAGGTAAACTCAGGCATCTATGGGGCAGCTGATGACCACGTGATTTGCCTCCAAAGCAGACTGCCAATGAGTGGCACGTGTCCAAGGTAAGGTCAGCGCTCTACCAAAATTACATAAGTAAAACTTCCAATATTCAAAGCAGATGATAAGAAGACATTCAATAATTGAGGAATGATAAGAATATTCCACTCAGCATCTCTGAAAAGGTATAGATAAGACAGAGCTTCGTGTCTTAGCCATTTCCATTTGAGGAGGGTATGAACAAGTTACTAAGTTTGTGGAAGCATTTCAGATATCGTCCATGTCATCATCTTCTGTGTCTTTTGTTTCAGTTCTTGTGCTTTGGTAGTCTAAAACTTACATAATAAAGGTACAACTATGAATCGGAATGAAGAAAAAGTAATTAGACTTACGTGACCATTCCCTGCTCACTGAGAGATATGCGTGAGTTAAGAAAAGTGAGATGAAGGAAAATAAGCCTATGCAATTTGACATTTGGAAATCTCCTAGTTTTAAATATTTATGAACACAAGGAGAAAATTAATTTCATTAACTAAATGCATGGAGACTAACAAAGTCAGTAGAAAGGAAAAAGCTCCAGCTCAGCTTACTAATGTCCTTACCACCACAGAATACATGAAAGGCAAGATAAAACTCAGATTGGCTGTGGGTCTAAAGACCAGGCTAGCTGGCAGCTACTGGAGACCGTCCATGTAAGACGCCCGGCTCGGTCACCTACACAGCCTTGCTGCAGAGTCTGGGGATACAGAAGCCACCGCTTGGATGCACAGGCAGGCACCAGTACTGCACATGCGAGAGGAGGCACAACTTGTCTGCGCGGCACTTCCCTCACTAACGAAGCCTATGGGGGAGTCAAGAACTCTGCCTGCTTCTTGCACCAATCATATTTACAGTCAAACTGTTTGAGTGCCTTTAGCCATGGTCAGGAGATGTGTTACTGTACTGTGGTGAGGATAGGAGCAAGAAGAGGTGTGGCATGACTCTGCTGTGACAGGTAAGTCCATGCTTGTCAGTTCCAGGGGTGCCTGAGCACACGCATGTTTGTGCCTGGAATGAAACTTGGTAACACACTGTTAGACAAGGATGGAGAGGTGTGTAGCTGGTACTTAGAAACCAGTTACTGCTATTTTCTACCTACTGCTCACTTTGCCAGATACCTGCCGTCTCCTGGGTTTCTGACTTGGAAGGCAGAGGTCTGAATTTGAATGCTCACAGCATCGTTTGTAAAGTGATCACAAGCACATTACTCACTTCCCTGCTCTTGATATTCCCACTGTTCAGGAGTCTGAACAGTGAGCATGAATACAGGAAACCTAAGAGAGACCCACTTATGTGTGAATTAGCAAACTAAAAGACTCGGCATACTGACTCTCACTGGATGTGCTGCTGTGCTGTCTATCCTGCAGGACTGTGAAAAGGAGGCCTCCAGAGACCATGGGGGATGTGGCCTGGGACTGGAAAAGAGCATCTGGGTCTCACCACGAATACACTTTCTAACCTGCCCTTTTTCCCACTATTTGTTTCCTAGTAAACCCATTTTGCTGGTGGAATTAAATGATTGTTTTGTTTGAAGTCAAAAGGATTAAGTGAAATAATACATATGAAACCACTAGCTCACAGAAGAAGCTCAGATATACTGACTAAAATTTGGAATTTTATGCAGCTGAGGTATAAAGTGTCATTGCCATTAATAGGGCGGTTTCCATATTTTAATTTCTTTGCCAACTTAAGTTAAGGGCACCCTGTGGGAAAACCTTAGACTTTAACAGTTCAAAAGTGAAGGAGTACGAAAACAAGTTCAACATTCTAGAAGAGCTGGACAAATTCCTACAACTTAACAACCATCCAAAGCTAGACAAAGAAGAAATAGAACACTTAAACACACCAATCAAAAGTGTAGGTTAAAAAAGAATCTTTTCCTTCATTCATCACTCTCTTACCACTCCAAACAGCTGTTTGCAAGTGTAAAGCATTTAAACAATGCTCATTTTATTATTCCTTTCCTTATCAATGTTTAAATAGTTCAAGCAAAGAAGGATTTATTTTCTTTATGAGAAATCTTACATCTCCTCTAAAACCCTAGTCTCAATGGTCTTTACAATACTGCTGAACAACAAAACTTTGCTAATATCACAGCAAATTAATGAAGGAGGACTCTGAAGGAATATGCCTTACAACCGGCTGCCAGTCTCCCATGTGCTGACTCAACAAGTGAGCTTCAGGGAGGAAGTAACTTCCCAGATAATAACCAACATGTACAGCTTAACATGAAGGTGGTCTCCAGCTTTCAAAAAAATCGCTTGATGGGAAGGTTATTTTTGTAAAATTTATAGTAGTGTGAGGGAATGGTAATTATCTGATGTTATATCATTCAAATGAGAAAAAAATAAACGAAGAAAAAAAATCCACAATTGAAAATTTCACTATATAGAACTACTCCAACTCCAGACACTTTGTAGTTTGTTTGCTAGAAGTCCTATTTCTGTGATAGGAAAAGGGACTTTGTATGGAAAATGAAGAAATGGATGAGTAGTTCCATCAATCCTTCCTACCCTGAGTCTTTCCTCCATAGTACTAAACCCTGAATATATAATTATAATACATGGAAAGTAGAGCTGTCTCAAGAGATGGCTCAGGCTATTTTTTTAGACCAAGGTTCTGACAAGGTAAAACATGGCCAGAAGGAAGCCAAACCGTCCTGCAGCTGCAGAAGCCTGAGGTGGAGGATATTTTCCGGGCTAAGTACCAAGAGGAGGAAACTACACAATAAGAGGGGTCCTGAAACCTGTAGAGTTTCTCATGGGTCTCTGGCTGAATTTTAAACTATGGAGACTAGAAAAAGATTCTAAAAGTCAGGCAAAGAGAAACTATTAGAAAAAGAGAATTTTCAGCCAAACAATCGCACAGCTCGCACAGGACTGGAAAACACGTGAGTTCCTACTAGTCATGGAGCAGATACCATATCCTGAAGCAGGGAGGGATTCAGGCCCAAGAGAGTGGGGGCTGCATTAGCTGAAGAACAAAGGCTGCACAGGGTGCTGTATTAAGAACAAGATTTATAAATTCAAGTTCTTTTTGCATGCAACATAAGTGCCCACCAAAACAAAGTAATACTCTTTTGATGACAAAATATACTCAACAATGAAATAGTCACAATGTCCAGCACCCAAAGTATCCCATACATGTAATTCTAAATTAGTAGAAATTCTATTAGAAGGAAACTCCAAATGAAAGGGTAATGGGATTAGTACATAAAGCTTTTAAAACAGCTATTATAAGTATGTTAAATGATTTCAGAACATGAACATGATATGAAAACTGCAAGAAAATCAGTCACTTCTACCCTGAAAATTAAAATAACTGAAATCAAAATATTATTAGATGACACAAGTAGAATATAGATGCAATGGAAGAAAAACACAATGAAATTTGAAAACATACTACTATGCTTTATGAAAGTGGACTCATAGAAAAAGAAAAGTTAAAAACAGTCTCAAAGGGCAAAATGCTCTTGAGTGACCCAACATGTGAAACTGGAGCTTAAGAGAACCAGTGGGAGGGACAGAAAAAGTTACTGACAAGTAATATTTAAATTTGATAAAAACTACATAGTTACAGATCCCATCACATCTAGAAGGAATGATTGTTCTGGGACACTTGCTCTGGAGAGGATTTCTTTTAAAGATTATAGTGAAACAAAGAGTTCTTTGACATAAGATAAAGTCAGAAAACATGGAGTGATGATCTCACAGCACACTGAACCTCTCATCTCCTGGCCTTTCAGAGACAGAAGAGGCTACCAGGGCCTCAAAGACTGCTTGTTCCCTTTTGTCAGTGGTCTGTTACTGCTTAAAATTCATTTAAATCATGAGGCTAATAGTCTTGACTGTTGACCCTATTACTTTTGAAGTAAGAGAAATAAACATGCACTGTCTTTGGCAGTGCTTTAGGATGGAAATACTTCCATACTTTTTGTTTACTTTAGGAAAACTGAAATGGTGCACGCTCCTTCTCAGGACCTGTGTGTTGAAAGGTTACAAGAGCCTTCAAAGAGAGTAGGCTGTTGGAAAGGACCCCTCCCTACTGAAGGTATCACATGCTTGTAAACCCCTCAACAACAAGCTCAGCTTCCTCTCACCCTCAGAGTCAGCGGGATGTTGGAGCCCGGCCTGACTGGGTGCCACACTGCAGATGCTCAGCGCTGCAGTGACACTTCTCACAGGGCCTTCGTCATCAAGAGGAGGCTGGGACATGCAAATACACTGACAAGACACCAACTCCATTTCTGGACACTAATTTATAAAATCACGTGCTTAGTACATTCTTATCCCAGGCCCTTTCAACAGTACTTTGCTCATGAAAATTTATACAGCCCAACAAAATTGGGACACTGCTGAAGAACTAAATAGGGTAAATATCAGAATATTGGGTAAAAGAGTTTAAGGGCATACTGAGGTTTAACCTTTCATGCAGTGGCATGCAAAGTATAGAACATCAGAATCATATTTAAGTCTAGGCTATTTATGGGTTTTAATAGTCTCTCTTCCATGTCGTTTCCAAGTTGGCAACAGCAAAACCATGGCAACAGGAAATTCTTCCCTGCAGTGGAGTTTATGAATGCTTTTCTGTTTTCCTGACTCAACTCCTTATTTAATTTCCTGTACAGAAAATCAGAGCGATTGCTGTAGACTGCAATATAGAAGTGCTAATCCAAAGACCCTCTCAAAGACGACCAGGTCGTAGGTATCTATGGATGAATCTTTGTGATACAATCTGAAATTGCCTCCCCGAGATACATGCAAGAGTTGATGCAGGCCCACCAGAGTAGACAACTGAGGACACAACTGTCTTTTAGTGATTTGGGGAGGGAAGCACGAGGCTCTAGGTTCATGAGCCACAGTGCCAGGGCACTTCATTGCTGCTCTTTCAATCAGCACGTTTATTAGACAGACTAACACCACAGCTAAGGTCTGCTTTGTTAGAGAGTAGACTGTGAACAACAATAACAGAAAGTTTAAAGACCTCCTAAATTAAAAGAATACACAAATGAGTAAGAATGCTACATAAAGGCTCATCATAGAAATATGCATGAGATATGCATGAGAATTATGAAGTGAATTAATGAAAATGCAAGATTCTAGGGTTTAAAACCAGATGGCTACCAATTTCTAGAGCTTTTTAGCACTGTAATATTAGGTTAAATATAGTGAAATTTTTGCAGCACGATTTAGGAGCAATTCTCTATGCTCTGCATTCATTCTCTACAGCACACCGCTACTAACACATTTTTTCCCCCAACAGTTTAATCCTAACTATTTTGATTATGATCTTCAATTATTTTGGGGGCACATCCTCCTCCTCTGGCTTCCTCTCCTCCATCACCAGCAGTTTTCTGCAACAAACGGCAATGCTGTTTTATGGGCAATTTAGCAGATGAACATCAATGCAGCAGGAGGAAAGTACGCCTCTAGGAGGGTTAAGTATTTCTTACTTTTGGTGTCAAGCTGTGCACGATACTTCTCGAACCCTTTGAGCCGAACACGTTCTCCCAACAGCTGAAGGAATTCCTCAAAGGCAGGGCCGGCTGATTCATTGTTGTACATCTCTTCTTCTGTGCTCTGTCCAGCTTTGCAGTACATGATACCCACTTTCTGCTGATAGTTCAGCTGCAAAGACAGACAATATGATGCACATAATACAAGCAAATCCACTGTGCATGACCTATTAAGCCTTACAGGGAACATGCCCCTCAAATAGGCAGCACCTGTGTCTTCCTTGAAATCCTTTCAATTCTTCCGTTGCTAGGGCAAGAAAAAAGCAATAGAACAAGAATTTATGGATTAAGAGAAAAGGTTAGAAAAATAATTAAAGTTTCCTACATGCCAAGAATATGCATCGTTAGGACACAGGCTGATACTTCAGAGAATTCCTGATAAAAGATTAAAAAGTGCAAAACAAGCCTATAAAAAACAGCCTGATGACACCCCTTCCTTTTGAAAAGGGAAGCCTTTATGAATTTAAAAGAAGAGGTCTACTTGACAAAAGCCATTTTAAAATAAATCTCTTGGCACCAAAGAGCCTATTCACATCCTTGTAAAGTTGGAAAAGACTGATCTCTCCATCCAATTTTTTCCAGCATATTAAATTATATATCTTGATTATTCCATCAACATTATCAAAATGTACTTTTCAAACATTTTCCTAAAAGAGGAGGACCCAGATAGAAACTTTAAGAGGGGCTTCACAGAGGCAAACCAGCGAGTGGCAATATCCTTTTAGATACAGTTAAAATGAAGTATTCAAGACATTTAAATTTGTTATAGCATTAACTGAAAACAGTTATTCACACTGAAAAGCCATTAGTTATTCTGCAAACATATTCAGGTGATAACAGTCATAAGAACTTAGTTTTTAATATAAAAAATTAGACTTTCTAATTTTTTATATTAAAAAATCAGGGCAATGCAGGGGATCCAGACCTACTTCAAGATTACCTTTGGGACTGCACTTCTGTAAATATTTACTTATTAAAAGGGGGAAGGGAAGGGAAGGGGCAAAATTTTGCCTCGTGTGTGTGAGCACCAATTACAATTGCTACAGTTCAGCATACAGTCACTTACTCTCCCTACAGTCTCAAAACAAGTATACACAGATAAATGGAGAGAAAGTCAGAGAATGGAAGAGAAAGTAGCCAGAAGGGAGAGACGCTGGACAGATTCTCAGTCCCGCCACTCGGTTCTGCCTCATGGTGACCAGGACTCAGCAGGTCTGGTCTGCCACCACTCCTTTGTTGCAATTTCGAACTTGAAAGGTAAAAACCAAATTTGACACAGGTGGTTGATGTTAACACTTTTAATTTATTCCTCTCTGTATAACTATTCCTACTTTTCCCTGTGGAGATATTAATCTGTTTGATTGTGAGGTGCTGCCCCAGATCCCATTATAGGATGATTATAGGCTGCATGCATTTTATCACCCTTCTTCAATCTGGAAATTTGAATCTCATTAAATCTGGATTCTGACACAGACCCAGGCCCTGCTGTTGCAGAGGGACTGGGAGCCTGACCTACTCTTTTCAACTTTCCAAACCAAGTGATTCAGAATAGATAACACAGAAAGTGCCCCCAGGAACTCTTGCTGGTTTCTCTCTCAGCCCCTCCACAGTACATGGCCTGCTCAGTCAGGAAGCTCAACAGACTTTCCCGACCTTTGGACGGGAGAACATCGCAGCACTCCAGTAACCACACAGACTTGAACGGGCCTCCCTCTGCCCACCCCATGGAGCGAAAGGCTGGTACAGTTGGACATGCTGCTATTAGAGTAGATTTTAAACAGCACATAATACTACTGCTACTTCATTTCTATTATTAACAGAAGCACATTTAGGACTTACTTTGTTTTTTTATGCCACCATAGGAAAAACAAATCAAAAGTGGGTTGCACTGACATTTCACCCCTTTTGCTGCAGGTCTGCCTCAAATGTCTGAATGTGGTTAATGCCTAGAGGAGAACCCTCCACCCTGTAGAGATTTCATCTTGGCTTTGGAATTGAGCTGAGTATCCCTATTAAGTCTTAACAAGTGAAAACATGGCAGTAGACACTATGTCTATGATACAAGAAGCCCTGAATACAGTCAGGTCCTTTTTCTCTCCCCGCAGGGAGAGCTAGCAGAGAGATGAGCAATCTTGAGGAAAGGAGGAGCTTCGAGTGGCTGGTTGGCTCTGTGCCTCCTCATCAGCTTTCCCATGCAATGGTGTAAAAAAGAGTTGCCCTGTTCAACAGGAAGCATCAGTGACACTAGATTTGTGATAGCTTTTTAAAACTTCTTAGATAAAGGTCTGAGGTTTCATAGCACAGCATTCAAAAGGATTCATTTATACACACACACACACACACACACACATTCATGTGTGTGTGTGTGTGTGTGTTGTGTGTTCTCTATGAGAAAGAAACTTCTCCCAAACCACCACGGGAGATGTAGAATCCAAAGACAATCAGGTAATATAGTGTCTGCTTTGGGCTGCCTTCTCAGACTCTAGGGAATCCCATCTGCAGACAGAACACACTGGCTTCTCTTGGTTGTGAAAGGAATTCCCTTTGATAAGAGGATTGGGAAACTTGTTAGAATGTCAGATTTCCTCTGACTTGAGATCCTGCCAAATGTCGCTGCTCTAAGGTGACACTATATATGACTGTATGCTTAGTTCCCACTGCTATTACATGTAGGTAATTGCACTTTCTGTGCTGAGTGCCGAGAAGCCATAGCTAGCAGCCATGTATGCTGCCAGATGTGGAAAGACGCCGAGGAGTTATGTAAATGGAATAATGAACATTTCACAAGAATGAGCAAATGTAAATAGAGCTAGATGTATGGTTTGCAGGCTTTGAATTACTATGAGCATTTTCTTTTAGACATATAAAAATATCTGTATGATTTTATGCATATAATATACGATGCCCAAGAGTGGTGGTGACACGGACTGACACGAAGTCATGTCGGGTGCTGGGTGGCGTGACCCAGGATTTTGGAGCATGATGTCATGACATGCTGTGTAGTTCCATGTTTGTAGAACCCTATTTATACCACACGCTGCCGGGAGGCACTGAACTCTCAGCCCAGGTCTGAAGTAGAACTAGCGGTGGATGGACAGTCCCACCAGACAAAGGTCGTATTTGAAAGGAAAGTCTTGACTTGCCACAGAACAAAGCTGTTTTCAACACCCACCAAATGGGATGTGTGCTGGGAACCACAGCCCATAAAACTGCTCTTCCTCTCATAAAGCAGGCACTGGAATGCAGACACATACATGCCTGCATTCAGGGAAGATGGGTGATAAAGTCAGCGTCCACTAGGCAGAAACAGTTTTGAACAGCTAAGCTTCCAGAAGCCTCGAGACACTCTGTGTCTTCACCGCTTTGTCCTTGGCGTCCAGACTCTCGGGTAGCACTGATCACGCACGCACCCTGCTTTCAGAACATTTCAACTGTCTGATTTAACCTCAATGTTTTAAACAGTTACTATGAGGTATTTTATTGCATAGTAGTTCTCAAAGTGTGGATCAAGGGCCCTGAAAGGGTTTTTGAGATGTTTCCTGGGACAAAGTTTTTTGTAAATAGTTTGACATTTGTAGCTCTGGCTTATAAACTGTTAAGTTGTACCAGAGCAATGCAGAAGGAGAACTTGGCAGCCTCAGGAAGGCACAACAAAGCCATTCTGAGACATCATCCAGTACCATGCAAAGATGAGATTCTCCAGGCTGCCCGGTAGGAGCAGAAACAATTTCCAACCACCTCAGAAGGCTCAGTAGCTTCCTCAAGTGAATCACACACTTTGCAGCCCTCCACTGTGAATGCTGGCAGCCTCCCCTCCCTGTCACCTCTCAGTTTCAACTCAGGGAGAACCCCTGGGCTTCGCTTCAAGCTCCCCCCACCCCAAACCCCGAAACAATGTAGGCAGAAAGCTGGTGGGTCTGAGAGTTCACTTGTTCCAGGCCATCACCGACCTTCACTGCCTGACGTCCAATGTCATAAAAACCACTGTTCTTTTGTTCTGCTCGATTTTTAATCGCTGTTTTAGAGGGAAAGGTAAACCTGGATTCTTTTCATTTTTACTCTTATGCCAGAAGCAGAAATGTGCCTTAGTTTTTTTTTTTTTTTTTTTTTTTTTAAGATTTATTTATTTGTGCATACAGAACTGGGGTACAGGCCAGAGGCTCAGGGGTGGTGAGAGGCTTCGCCAGAGACAGAGTGGGGAGCAGAACAGGCAGATCAACGAAGTACACTGCTGAGGGGAGCAGCGGGCGGGTCAGGAGAGGTCTGCCACGCCATGTGGTCACCTCCGGGGCCAGCGGGAATCGAACTCATGCGGAAGTGGCTTTAGCTTTTCAGTGCTGCGCTTTAACCCGCTGCGCCACCAGGGAGGGCCGTGCCTTAGTTTTTAAATCAGCTTTACTTCTGATTCTTTCCTCTGTCATTTCCATTTTGCCACTGAGCCCATCTATTTTTTTTTATTATTTTTATTTTGGCCACTGTACTTTTGATTCCAATATTTACCCATGTCTTTTATGGAGATTTTTTATTTTTTGCTATTATTTTCTATTTTTCATTCCTTAGAGACTGAAGCATTGTCTGTGAAGGCTGCTTTAAGATCACTGCTCATAATTCCAACATGACTCATCACAGTGTTGGCTTGTGCTGTCTCTTTTCCTTCAAGTTCAGATTTTTCTTGTTGGAAGAAATGTGATTTTCAGCTGAGCCGTGGTATCTGGGACATGACATTTTGAGGCTCTGGCCCTTGCTTGAGTCGTGTGTTTTGGCAAGCCTCCTCTATTATCACTCTGACAGGCTTGGGACACTGCCTCCATGCTGCACAGGGAGGCTTGCAGTTAGACTCCCCTGCCCTGGACCTAAGGGAGAAGGACATGTACTTGCTGCTGAGAAGGGGGTGCCCAACCCCTGCTAGCTCTGTGAGTCTGCCATCCTGGCTGGGAGGGCCCAGGAGCGCTTTGCTGCTCTCCATTTGACTTTCACTGATGCGGTGCAGTGGGCCCCCTCAAAAGATGTATGGAAAGGGTGATTCTTCCTTCAGCCTCTCCTGATTGCTCCCCAGTGCAGACCAGAATAGGTACCTCATTACCACCCCACGGGGGTAAGCACCGGCTTCCC